ATCTTCCTATTTCATTTGTATTTTGAGTTGCTTGTTACCAGAACTGTAAGAAGAGATCTATATCTAAGGATATAGCGATTCTTTGGTTTAAGCTGACGAAAACTATTCCAGACTCAATGATACATTACACCGACTGTAACTGCCCATAGCTTGCAATAGAATTATTAATTTCTGGCCAACGGGCGAAAGAGTGTGATGAGGGAAATGACACTCACCTTCTGTCGACCAAAGGTGTCTTTGCCCTGGACGTGAGACCTGGGTTTCGGATATCTGCTCCATGACAAGACGAAATTGGAGCATTCCCAATTTTACAGCATATACCCCCAGGCACCGTAGGACTGACGAACACAGCACTGGACATAGTCACTTTATTCCCTTTCGGTCCTTTCAACTTCGTACTTTTCTTTGAAACGTTAGTATTTGCAATGGAACTGTCAATTGTCTTATCTCGTTGGCGTATCCACATAGGTATTTCACTAGCATAACGGAGGTCTTGATTACTTCGAAAGTCTTGAGCATACCCAGCCATTTCACTAGGAGCGAGTGTGCCATGTCGAGATAAAACAACATCGTCTTCAGCTATATGTGGAGACTGTCGCACTGTTGGTGGGGGGAATGTGTGGGACTTTGAGGATGGAGTCTCAGGGCAATTACTATTCATGAGATCAGGGGTTCCTGGATTATCTGATCTCTGACTACCGGATCGGTTCCGTGTCCCCAAAAATTTAGGTCTTCGTGAGGGTATGACTGTATCATAGCCACGTGGGTTTTGTAGAGATCTGCGACTCGCCTTTGGTATTTTGACCGGAAATTGTTCATTAGGGTGAACGCTCATGTCGTAGGGCTCTTCGTCCCTCATAGCCTGCGGTGTGAAACCACCATCTTCACGCGGGAAAGGAGAGGCTGTGAAAGGGCAGTCGTCTACGTCTCTCTTCTCTGAGGGTGAGGCACAGCGTATGTCTGCCGAGTTCTCTAGATTATCAAAGGATCTTCCTCCTAGCCTGTCTCTGTTCATGATGAAATCATTGTCTACGCATTCGCTCCCGTCCCCTTCCGAAGGGATGGGTCCATGAGGGGTGTCGTCACAGCAAGCAATACCATTAGGTATTCGCTTATCTCCATCGCATTGGGCTCTTCCGCCCCCCTCTCCACAGCCAACACCCCGAAACTGCACTCGTTTTTGAGACTTTGTAGAAGAGCGGGAGTTACTTCCTGTAGGCGAGTCCAGCCCCCTACCATCAGTGACAGGCAGCATGCACGAACTGCTGGACTTGAGAATGCCCTTCACTGGGGCAGGACTGGAGGAACCAGATGAGCCCACTGCACTCCTCGCCAGGGCCAGAATACTCTTTATTCTTTCCACAAACGTTTCGTCGTATTCCGAATCTTCGCTTTGCCCTCGTGAAGATTTATCCCGTGTATGTTTTTGTTTATGGTCCGGCTGTGTACGTCCTTCTCCAGAATGCCTCAAATCATTGCACTTCACTTTCTCTTCAGGATTCCTTGACTTTTTCCTCTGATGTTCGGGTCTTGGCCACTCTGGCTGGTTGAGGTAGCAATGAGCACTGCGGTCTGGAGCGTTTATGACCACACGTCCCTCGCCGCGTTTTGAGGCTCGCATCCTGCATGGCGGGGGAAGTACAGTGGGTGCAGCCACGCCTCGTACCAGCAGAAGATTACAGAGGGAAGAGGCAGAACGGACAGTGCCGTCTGCTCTGTTGCCAGGCCACGATGAGGGGGGAAGTGGTGTGTAGCCGTTGGGCTCTCTGGCAAACAGGACGAAGGCAGGGGGAGGCTTTTGGCGGGAAGCAAAGGGGTTCTTTTTGCTCGTTTTAGTCAGAATCGATCGGTTTCGAGATTTGGATCCTTCCATTTTCATATCTGAAAAAAGTATTATCAGAAATTTAGTCTAAGCATTTTGAAAGCTCAATTGAGAGTCCTTTGCGAAGTGGAAAAGTACATAATAAACAAAGGTGAATGATAGAGACAAAAATCGAATTCTTACATTTTCAAACACGATTCTTTTTTCATAATATAATAATAATAATGGATTGCATTTATATAGCGCATATCCACTTATGCAATGCTCTATGCGCTTAACATGATACATATTATGGATTTACAAATCAATTTTAAAGGTACATAGTGTTACATACTCGTGCAAACACATATTCACTCACGCACGCACCACACACACATACATACACACATACACACATACGTACATATTATGCACATACGCACATACAAACTCACAACGATCTACAGCTTGGATGGATTCTGTATAATCGAAATATGATGAAAATAGAAATGCTTTTAGTTTCTTCTTAAAAATTTCTAGAATTTCTGCTTCTCTGATAGTTTTTGGAAGCCTATTCCAAACAAGTGGGGCAAAATATGAAAAAGAGTGTTGGCCATATGATTTGTAATTTATTTTAAGCTTAACAAGGGTTGTTTTGTCACTTGATGATCTGAGCGTTCTAGGAGGCACATAGGGTGTTAAAAGCTGTTTTAGATAGTCCGGTGATAAATCATTTAAGCACTTGTAGCAAATTAAACAGATTTTATATATGATACGCTCTTTCACTGGGAGCCAGTGTAATGCTTTTAAAATAGGAGTCACATGATCATGCTTTAGTTTTTTTTGTAATTATTTTAGCAGCAATATTTTGTACTCTTTGTAGTTGTTGTAACTGTTCATCAGGTACACCAGCCAGTAAGGAATTGCAATAATCAATCCTTGACAATATCAGACAAACTCGTTCATTGCCTGCCTGCTCCTGAGTAAATGATTCCAAATGAAGTTATTGTGCTTTGGTTATTTCACAAATGTTATAATTCTAAAACAAAGTTAAGGATTAAGCTAACAGTATTGCTAATAGCAAGTCATTAAAATCACCCTTATTTTAAAGTGCAACCAGCAATCTGATAAATTTGTGCTGCAATGGGAGTGTGAAAGTGTGTGGTCAATGGTCAACCCACGTCATCGTGTATAGTACGGAGGTCAGCTTTTGATCGAGCGTTGAGCACTTCCCTATTACTATTCATCATCATCATTTCCTTTCTCACCCTGGGTCAGGATATAGGCCACGAACAAACACTGTCCACTTTTCCCTATCCTGGGCTAGTCGCTTGAAGTCACTCCATTTCTTCCCACTTTTCTGTACATCCATTTCTGTGACTGCTCTCCAGGTCCCCCGTTGTCTTCTTCTTGATATTTTACCCTGTGGATTCCAATCTAACACTTTCCTTGTTATGCAGCTATCCATCGCAAACGCCTTTTTCCCACATCATCTCTTACTGGGCTCTGTCTCGTTCTTCTTAATACTTCCTCGTGGGTGATCCTGTTTGTCCATTTGATCCTCAGTAGCTTCCCCAGACACTTATTTAAGAAAACCTGGATCTTCTTTATTCACGTCTGAGATGCGTTCCACCTTTCACATCCATATAACAAGACTGACTGTCACATTTCAGTTGAAAATTCTTAGCTTTGTCCGTAGTGGAATATCCCTGGTCCTCCAAATTTTAATCCTATTCAAAGAAATAAATGCAGTCTGTGCCTCTTTCCAATGCGGGACTTTATTTCAACCCTTGTTCCTCCCTCTCTGTCAATTATACTCCCAAGATAGCAGAAGGATTCGACGTCTTCTAATGCATTTCCCTCTACTGTGACCTGCTCCTTTCGTAGTGCATCTATCCTTAGGACTTTTGACTTTCCGGGGTGGATCCTCAATCCAACACACGCTGATAGGCTGTTTAAAATTGTTGTTTTTGCTTGCATCTGTTCCTGAGTGTGTGGCAGAAGCGCCGAGTCATCTGCAAAGTCCAGATCGTCCAACTGTGTCCATTGGGTCTATTGAGTCCTCTAGTGGTTTCCTTCATCAGCCAGTCGAATGCCAAGATAAAGAGGAAAGGTGATAGTTAACATCCCTGTCTCACACCGGTCTTGATGTCAAAGCTGTTGTGAGCTGGCCATCATGTATAACCCTGCAACTTGTCCCTTCGTACGCGCTCTCGATGAGGTTAACCAACTTCTGTGGGATTCCGTGATGTCAAAGTATCTTGCATTAGTATTGCTCAGTCTATGCTGTCAAAGGCCTTCTCATAGTCAAGGAAGTTGACGATCAACTGGGAGTTCCACTATGATCCTCAGTGTAGCAATCTGGTTTGTGGTTGACTGGTTTTTCCGAAAACCAACCTGTTCATCCCGAAGTTTTGGATCCGTTGCAGACTTGACTCTCTCCAGAATGATTTTGTTGAAGACCTTACCTGGTATTGAGAGAAGAGTGATTCCGCGGTAGTTGCTGCAGTTGCTGAGATCCCCCTTGTTAGGAAGTTTTACAAGGTGTCCTTCTTTCCAATCCTGTGGGAACTAGCTCTCATTCCAGATCCTGGTAAACAATGGGAGAAGGAGGTCTGCCACACAGAACACCTATAGTATTAGTCTTCTGTGGTCTGCCGTCACATTGGCATCTGCTTTTAGGGCTTTGGATGTGAATCTGATTAGGACCGGCCGCTTTACCGTTGTTCAGCTTCTTAATGGCACCCAGAATCTAATGTTTCGATATAGCATCACAGCAGATTGGTTACTCATTTCTTGATGGCAGGATGTTTGGCGGGTTACTTACACACACACACACACACACACACACACACACACACACACACACACACACACACACACACACACACACACACACACACACACACACACACACACACACACACACTAGATACACATACACACACGCGCGAACATACACAGACACACTCGGTACACACACACATACACACACACACACACACACACACACACACACACACACACACACACACACACACACACCGTGGTCGTCAATTTTGGGCGGTCGGAGACTCCAGGCCCTTCCCTGTTCGCAGGCGACGAGATCCGAGAGCAGCGGCTTGCTGTGAAGCACAGAAGGCTTGACCACACCAGTAGTGAACATGTCACCGCGGTCAGCCAGGAACATCGCAGCGTCCTGCTCGACAAGAGGAGAGAAAGTCGTTGAACACGCCTGAGCAACCCTAGCCTGCGCTTGCAGAATTGATTTTAGAAACCCCGACTTTTTTCTCATACATCAATGTTTTTTCAACTTCAAAGCCACGTGTAGTTTGCTGGTCTCTATTCAAAACGCTCTTGCCCCAGCTCTAAGTGTATACAGAAATGACGGAGCAGTGGTAGGTAAACCCAGATCTACATTAATTAAACCGCAGGGGGCCGTGATTCACGCCACTTTCAGGAAAGTTGACTCAGTCACAGAGTACACATCGCACTCTGAGGACGCACTAGTCTCAAACTCACTTGGCTTTTTGCCAGTAGTTTTTGATTTACTGAGATTAAGATCAGTTTTTTTACTACATCTAAAAAATGAAACTCAATTCGCTTCGCAAAAGTGCCTCGTTGTGTGGCATGGGGTGGCTTTAAAAAAGTTCGCCTGAAATAGAACTGACACAATTATCATTCTTCTCGGTGACTCGTCAAGTAAACGTGTAGTGTATTTGCCCCCCCCCCCCCTTTTTCAAAGTTTTCCCGTTCAAAAAATTTTTTAAATTAAGAATAGAAAAACGTCTGAAGTATCGTAAATTAGAATCGTATGTCAGGCAAAGCAAATACCTAGCAACCCTTAAAATAATTATTATGATATAACTATAAAAGCGGTAACCGTGGCGAATGTTTCATCTACCAGATAGGTTACAGTAGAAAAACACTCCAAACACAGATCCAAAAATAATACAATGAAGTTACATGTACTTTTCCTGACCCTGCAAGAAAGAAATGCTTTCCAAAGAGAACGATGTGATGTTAAAGCGTGAATAAGAGGTTTCAAGAATCTGTTTTGTATGAGCTACGTGCATCTATTCTGTTTTCTCTGTTCGTGAACGTGTAGTAATTCACCGCACGACGAGGCTTCACAGTTAAGTAGGCCTATGCGGGAAAAGTGGTTAAGTAAATATTACAATCAGTGGACATCAAGTATGAAAACTTTTCGTCCCAAAATGACAGAGCTGTAATTGATAACATAAGAATGAAGTAAGAGCATGATTTGTGTGTCTGAGTCTGAAGACAGAGAAAAGGTAAAAGGCAAAAAGCGTTCCATATTATACCTGTAATTATATAATTAATGTGACGCTGAACTGATGGGAGAAAAAAGTTCTCTTTGGGCCAGGTGCACGAGAGAACGTTTCAATACACGGGAAATAGAAAGAACTATCAGAGGTGGAGTCACAACAGTTCTCTCCAGCCTCTCTCGCACGCCTTTTGTTTGAGTACAATATGGACCAAGATCGGTTCAACATGAAGAGTTCTGGGATGATCACCGAAGTTTCAACACCTCACTTTACAAACACGCGCCTGAAGGATGCGACTTATGTTCTGAGTGGCAAAACTGAGACCTTTTGCCTCGTTTGCTTGGCTCGGATTAAGCAAAAGAGAAAGGAATCCTATAGGATTTGAAGACTTAAGATTGCAACATTAGAGATTTGTTTAATACAAATATAGATTTAAAAAATACCAGCCGTTAGACGTTTTCGTGTCCGCTGTCATAAATCTGGCACAAAGTTCACCCTCTGAAAAAAATGGTGACAGGTGACGAGTGACACCATTAAAGACCTGCTTAATACATATTTCACCCAACAGAATGCTCCTCAAGAAGGTTAGTGTTCCATGAGGATAGATCTAGGTAGTGGACCAATATTATTACATTTGTGTGTTGTGTTCCTCAAGAGGAGGCCGAGAGGAGTGCAAGCAATCAAAAACACCAAAACTCTGGACACCAGTTGACTGACTCCTACATTGTGACAATATTCCCTTTTATACCGCCTTCTGCGTGCATTTATAGTCTGCCCATAACAACAAAACAAGGTTCTCTCATCATGCCTGACCATCCTCCCTCCCCCCTCCCCCCAAAAAATCCCCCTTTTTTCCCCTCTGTATGCTTTGGTCTCACCCCCCCCAAACCCCCCCCCCCAAAAAAAAAAAAAAAACTTCAGCGGCAGTTTTGATGGCAATGAAAACACAAAGAAGCTCTGCAGATGGTGCAACACCCAACAACGAGAGAAAGCATTATGAAAGAGTTTCACGCATGTTCAAGATCACTTCCCCACTAATACCAGTCTATGCTTAGAAAGTGAAACTGGCGACGGAACTTTGTTGAAATCAGAAGAGGTTTTGATTAACTAACCATTTATCCCCAAAAAGTTATTGCACCTCGTGGTCTACGGACAATCAGGCTGGATAGTGCATTAAAACGTAAAATCTTAAAATGTGTGGTAGATTTTTCAACATGTAAACGAAAGCAAGAGGCACTCAAATCATGCCCAAAGACTTCTCCAAAATGAACTCTAAAACAGCTCCAGGCTTTAAATTTTCTGTTATTTTTACTGTTAACGGTTTATTGAAAGCTCGAGACTTCATAAGCAAGCAATTTGTTCTTTCTTCATTCTTTTGACTGCGGTCGGGGTCATGCCCCCTGCTGTGAAAATAGTACACGGATATTTGGTTTATACTTGCAGGTATAACAAGTCTTCACAGAAATCAGCAGCATCGGAATCTCAAAAATGCTTGGCACATTCTCTTATCCACCACGACATGAGACAGACATAGCAAGGGTTCAGCAGTTCAAAAAGTATAAAGAAACTTAATCTGACAAGGTCTTGTACTCTATTATTCTATTAAGCATCCTGCCTTTGGATGAGTTTACCAAAGACATTTTTTGAAACAAGAGGTAATAAAAACATACTTAATGCTTAGGTAGACTGGGCATGCTTATCTTCCGCATCATCAACTTATTCCGGTACGGTCTCAATGCAATCATTTCCTGTAAATCAAATCTCCACAGTCAGGGATGTAGCAACAATGCTGGAGAAAAAAAATCGGAGCGGATTAGTGAAAGTAACAAAAAGTTAAGTTTGTGAAAGAGAGGGAAAATGCAATTCAAATGGGATTTTTTTTTTTTTTTTTTTTTTTTGGGGGGGGGGGGGGGGGGTCGAGGAAGGAGAAAAGAACAAAAAAATGTTTACACGTACCGGGTGCTAGGGAGAAAATGGGGAAATGGGATTGCTGGGTTGGTTGTAAAGGCAATCCAATAACGCAATAATATCGTTGTAGGAAATATCTAGTGTTTTGATTATGCCCCACAGAACTTTAGTGAACTCAATATTGCTCTCAATTTGCGACGCCGCTCCAGTTATACTCTGGTCCCTTCGGTAAGGCATAGACCTACTTATTTGCACAAGGGATATTCCTTGATAAAAAAAATACACCCTCTTTCTGCTTCTCTCTCTCTCTCTCTCTCTCTCTCTCTCTCTCTCTCTCTATCTATATATATATATATATATATATATATATATATATATATATATATTATTATCTATCTATCTATCTATCTATTATCTATCTATCTATCTATCTATCTATCTATCTATCTATCTATCTATCTATCTATCTATCTATCTATCTTTCTCTCTCTCTTTCTTTCTCTCTCTCTCTCTCTCTCTCTCTCTCTCTCTCTCTCTCTCTCTCTCTCAGAGGCGAAGCGTCTATATAATCAAATAATCACTACTTCCCTTCCTAATTTTGAAACATTGTCGCAGTCAAATTCACCCATAGACGTAAACCTCATAAATTAAATGTAAAAAGACGTTCATAATCACCAATGAACAATAGACTATGCCTAACCTTCAAAACCGTTTCACTGCCACAGATACAGCCTGTTTGCCCCTATCGGGCCACTCCATAAGCAGTCACAAGCTTTGATTAAGTAAGCTTAAAGTGAGGCTGGAAGAGTCTACCAATAGAGTTGAATGGAACATGTGCATAGCAGTCAAGGAGAATAAAAGTAGTTCTAAACTCCTTGATAGCAGTCAAAACTGTTTCATAGCCTCATATACCCTGTTCACCCCTTTCGAGCCACAGTTATAAGCAGCCGCACGCGCTGATTATGTAAGCTAACTATTACACTGGTCGAGTCTACCTCACGGATGTGAGGGAAACTAACTCCTAATAATAGATTGACTGCTGCGAGTACATGTTTTTTTTCCTCAACTTTTTAACGTCCTATAATCAGATCGTGACCTCGATTATGACATCGGCTCCTGGCCGCGAAAAGCTAGACAAAAAACAGCCAAATGTGAAATAAAAAATTAATAATTGGCATGCTCCACCAAAGTGTTTCGGTTGTCTGGTATAACATGTCATTGTAGTACTGACATCTCTGCTTCTTTCCTTGGTGTTCGTGTGTTCAAATCTAAAGTTACATTTAAGGTTAGTTAGAATAAATATTTAATGAAATACTTTCCCGATTATTTTAGCGGTTGAATATGCATACAACATGAATTCATGTAGACTCTTCCAGCCTCATTTTAAGCTGACTTAATCAAAGCTTGTGACTGCTTATGGAGTGGCCCGATAGGGGCGAACAGGCTATTTCTGTGGCAATGAAACGGTTTTGAAGGTTAGGCATAGTCTATTGTTCATTTTTTATTATGAACGTCTTTTTACATTTAATTTATGAGGTTTACGTCTATGTGTGAATTTGACTACGACAATGTTTCAAAATTAGGAAGGGAAGCAGTGATTATTTGATTATATAGACGCTTCACCTCTGATTCAGGATTTGCTTTCATTCACAACTCAGAGTTGCCGCCTCCAGTGCCAGTAAATTCTTGTGACTTGTGTGAGTGTGATATCTCCAGGCCGTATCTGGTCCCATCTCATTTTGATTACCCTGTCAAGCAAGTCAGCTTTCGCCCCTTCTCTCTCTCTCTCTCTCTCTCTCTCTCTCTCTCTCTCTCTCTCTCTCTCTCTCTCTCTCTCTCTCTCTCGCTCTCTCTCTGTCTCTCTCTCTGTCTCTCTCTTGTACTCTCATTGTGCACTTGTGTGAGTAAGTGTGTGTGAGTGTGTGTGTGTGTGTATGTGTGTGTGTGTGTGTGTGTGTGTGTGTGTGTGTGTGTGTGTGTGTGTGTGTGTGTGTGTGTGTGT